CCAATCTTCAATGCATAGTCTGATTCCGGCCTGAGAAGGTGCGTGCGTGCATGCGCGGGGTTCGACGATGAGAGGGGGGGGGATGGGGACATAATCGCGGAGAGGTGGCAAGAAAGGTGGTGGGGGATTTAGATAAGTATCCTTCGGAACCGCCGAGAGAGCCACTCTACATTTTGCAGTCGCACAAGGAAGACATGGAAGCTTTTAGGAGAATGTATGCGTTCCTCAATTTCTTTACGGTAACAAAATTAGATGTAATCAAGAAGTTACCTACTGAAATTTCCAACATGATATTTGGCATGCTGGATGACCGGTCCCTCCGACACGCTGCGAAGGTCTCTATGACGTGGAGAGGAATTTCTGCCTATGAACGGAGACGCAGGAAAACCCGCGACGCAAGAACAAAACGTAACGCAGCACGGTGTGCACCTGTTCGGTGCCACAGTGAGACGGCTATGACATTCGGTGTGAATGAACGGATTGGTAAGGCTGTTCAGCAGAATCTCTGTCGTTCTTGTAGATACATACGCGTATCTGAGAGTTTCGAAGGTAAGAAAGTCAAGGCGTATAGTCGAAACTTGCGGTTTTAGAAATTACTGTGAGGAATAATGTAAATTAATAAATTAGGAATTTATAATAAAATACCGGTAAATTTTTTGACAACAATAGCAGCTAGACTACAAGTTGTAAATGAATTTGACTAATAAGTAATGCGAACCCGTTTCATTTTGCCATATGGTACGTTTCGGTATCGTGGAATTTGGCTACGTTTACACCGTGCATTTAGGCCGCGGACTATACAATAGATGTCTTTGTTTAGCCTGTATATTAAACAAAGACACCTATCGTATAGGTCGCGGACTAAGCGCACGGTGTAAACGTAGCCTTTAACACTGCTACTGTTCATACAGTTCGTATTCGCTAACGCTATCTTAGCTCCGAGTGTGCCGAGATATTCTTAACACGAGATAACATTGATGCAGCTATTTTGCGCTGTTAAACTACTGGCAATACATATACACATTGTTGCCTGCATGTTGCTACAATGTCGGTATATTCGAAATCGTTGAAGACAAATCTATAGCAAATTGCCAGCATCATAAACAATCACAGATTTGTGCGATTTTGCTGAGACACGCTTTGCTATCTGAAGAGGGATCCGATAGCGCTCATCGCTAATTGATCAATTTTTAAAATAAAATATTCTTATTGGTAAAACAGTGAAAAATTGGTAATGAGGGTAAATTCTATCCCCACAACTGGCTTTTCACCAATCAGCGTTCGGTGTCAAAGCGCTGTTGCTCGTATGAGAATCAGGATTAAATGTAGTCTGTAATTGGCCATATTTATAATAAACTCTTGTTATTTCAAAAATTATTAATTAAAATAAAAATTTACAAATAACTTTTTTATTTAATTTTTCGAAAACATTTTTGCTAAGTATTTTGCAAATTTTGGAACATCTTGTATGTGTGTATGGGAAGTGGACGTATGTGTACTACGTAATAATAAAGAATGTTTTCATGACGTAAATTTTTTTTTAAGTAATCTTAGTTTATCAGATTACAAAAAAGATATTGAGTACATCATATTGAATATTTATATAATTATATATATATATATATATACACATAACACGCACGTACGCACAGCAAGAGAGGGATTACAATTTTCAAAATGATGTTTTTTCTTGTCATTAAACTATTAAGAATTTTGTCCATGTCTTGAATTTTATATAATAACTTATAATTAAGTCACTTTCTTGTCCTATGAATTAACATATAATAATGCTATCTACATAGATATATAAATATTATATGTATATACATATGTATGTTTATCTTAATTATATAAGTAATTGTGAAAATTATAATCAGTAATAGCAAAATATCAATGTATGTAATTATTATAGAATAAGAATAAAAAAATGAAAGAATTAAGTCAGCTTACTTCCTGTGTAATTTAAAAAACTGAGAGAAAGTCTAATTTTAACAACTAATTATAAATTAATTATTATCAATGATAAGTCCATCTTTTTCTATTATCATTATACCGAAAGTAATCATTGGAACGATAATTATTATCTCGACTATAATGTGCTCTTTCGTCTCTGTAATGATCATTATGATTTCGTTCTCTGCTTCTTCCGTTATCCTTCTCCCTCTCTGCATCTCTGTTTCTGTCTCTATTCCTATCTTTTTCTTGATTTCTATCTCTGTCTCTCTCCTGTTTTCTATCTCTATTTCTCTGATAAGGATGATTTCTTCTCCTATCATCATTGCCAAAGTTTACATCTAACTGCTTTGGATATGATAGGACATCTTGTGAAATATTTATACCAAAAATTGCATTGCCGCCACTAGTCTGTGGTGGATAATTTCCTAGGATCATCTGCTGACCCAGTTCCAACATATGATTCATATTGCGAACAGGATTCGAAGATTGTTCTGCTTGTTGTGACTCTGTATTATTCCTTAATTTCATATTAAGAGTACGATTGTACAGTGTTGTACCATCAAATAGGTGCAAAGCATATTCCACAGAATCCATGTGTTTGTATGTGATAAATCCATATGTTCTTGGCTTGCCATCACGATCTTTAGGAATAGTTATTCTTTGTACAGGACCTCCCTAACATAATACAAAAATTGATAATTAGTCTAGATATATATATATATATATATCTGGATTAAGCCATTTTTGCATCAAAGATTAAAGAAAATCAAAACTTTGATTTAAAAATCGTTCATTAGCGACCTCCAAATCTTAATATTTTTTGATAAAAATTTAGGGTTCTTTTAAAAATTTTATATATATATTATATAAACTACTTTATTTATATATATATTTTATACACAAATACCCTGAGTTGTCTCACATTAGCTTATTTTCACTTTCTCATTCTGTTGAACTTTAGCAAAATTAACAATAGTAAAAGTGACAATTTTTATAAATCAAATTTTATAAAACCAATCAACAATGTTTAATAGAAATTGATTTAGTATCTTAAAGAGACATTATATATAGACTGAACATATATTACTTAACAAAATTTTTCGATTTTGTAGAATCTCTTAGCTTTTTTTGTCATTACTTTCTGGAAACATACACTCTGTATAGATATTTTTAAAAGATATCAAACGTTTATACCTGTGGTGGTTTATACCTTTAAGCAAATGTACAATAAATAATTGTCAATGATTTCCCAATAGAATGTAGAACCATGTAGAAAAAACTGTAGTAGATTCTATTAACCCTTACAATACAAGGTACAATTTGGTGCCTCATCCATCCAAATCTGGGTCACTAAAATCCGTCTGTTTTTTTCACATATTCAGAATAGTTAAAAAAATCTCGACAAATTCACCAACATACTTTGAACTTTCTAGAATAAATATTGAAACTTTATTTTGGAAAATAATAAGATGTAATACAATTTATAATTATCAAAAGACTCAAAGAAATTTATACAAACAGGAATCGCTCGGTCACTAGTGGTCCGACCTTGTACGGTAAAGGTTAATTGTATTTGTATTAAGCTTATGTCCAACTGATAGATCTCATACACATAATAGAATGTCCTACTTTACACCAATGGTTTAATATTTATAGTAACTTTCTATTAAATTAATTTCAGCGATGCATGTACACATACATATGATAGACGTGCAAAAGTGACATTTTGTACTTTAATTTATAAAAAAAAGCCTAATAAAATTTTAATCATTATTGAGTGTTAGTATAAGATGTAGATAACGAAATCCTGTACTAACACCTGATAATTAACGATTAAAATTTTATCAGATACTTTTTTTTTATAAATTAGAGTACATAATGTCACTGGCCGGAAACTTCTGCAGCTACTGTATGTACTTAATTAACCATCTTGATGTACACTATATCATGCCAGTACATTATTCTTTAAATACACCGCTGAAATTAAGATGATTTAATAGAAAGTTATCAGTTAGTGTGTGTGTACAAGTATTAAACGATCGGTATAAACTAGAGCAATGGCAGAAAAAAGAATCTTGAATTTATTTAAATTAATATATTTACAATTTAATGTCTGTTTGATTTTTATTATCACTGTTGATAAATTTTGCTATATCTTGTGGGTATTTTACTGATAATATTGCATATCGTAAAACCTGCATTAATGACTATTTCAGTTATAAAACTTGTAATGCATGATACAACATCTTTGACAAACTGGCTATGTAAAGTTTACATGTATGAGACAAATATCAATTGTTTCCTACAGATATCTATATTAGATTATATAGTTCGAGAAGCATTATACGTATTAATTGTAGGATATTTAGTTATATATATAAGTATATATATATATATATAAAAATATACTGACTTGTAAGAATAACTCGTAGAGAATATCCTCCGTGACTTTCTCACTTAGATTCCCACAATAAAGTGTACGTGCATCTTCGTCCATTCTTAGCAAAATTGTTTTCTATTTCTTTATCTTTGTGAAAATCTCCTTATAAAAGAGTCAGTATCGCTTTATTTTTACTTTCTTTTTCTTTCTATTTCTATACCAAGGCTGCGTCACAGTATACAGTAGCGCAACTCTCTGTCGGCACTTGATGTTGGTGAAGCCAAAATCGTAGCGCGCATGCGCAAGTTGAGACATTACATACGGTAACGCCATCTAGACTTCTCTCTCACTTACTCTCTTAAGCCCATGGCACATACAAAAACGTAAGGCCGTAAGACGTAAGCAGTAAGGAAATCGTAACATTGGATTCGCTACTGGCCTTACGGTCTCTATCGTCATTGGCCAATTCGCTTACTGATTACATCTTACGGCCTTACGTTTTTGTATGTGCCATGGGCTTTAGGGGCAATTGGAACGCAACTTGTGTATAACAGTAAACATAAGACGTACCGTAAGAATAAGCCAATCACAGTCGAGAATTTTTTTGAACTTTTAATTCCGATTGACTGATTCTTGCGTTATGTCTTATGTTACTGTAATATTAAAAAATTGAAAATATTTGTATAATATATGGTATATCTATCATATTTTTTTTTAGGAAATTTAAATGTCTTCCTTCTAATTCAAGATTTTCCAGAACATCCATTTATTGAACAATATTTAATTTTTTTTCCACTCATTTTCTTGATGTGTATTTTCTTTTTATATCTGAAACAGAGCTAAGATCAAAGTGTTTTCTGCAAGAGAATTGAAAATCTGTATGATATATATGTACAAATCTACAATTCTCTTTAAGGATAATTGTCACTTTCTTTATTCTTTTCACTTAACTTCACTCTATTTCACTTCACAATAATCCACTTCACTTTACTTTTTTTCACTTCACTATTAATATCTAAAACAATTTGCAAAACATCACCGACATAAAAGCATACGAACTTAATACTGCCGTTACCGCCAATTGTTACACAAACACTGCAACGGTTAAGAGAAAGACCGAAAACACAAAGAATAAGTGAGAGAAAAGTTCAGATGGCGTTACCGTATGTAATGTCTCAACTAGCGCATGCGCGCTACGATTTTGGCTTCACATAATGAATAGAGTTGCGCTACTGTATACTGTGGCTGCGTTCTGAAATATCACAAGTATTCCTGTGTATCGTTTTATCCTTGTTGTTCACCCAATGTTAAATAAGGATAAGGTGATACAAGGGACACCCAAATGATATTTCCGAACGCAGCCCAATTCTTTAAAAATGAAGATAAATTTTCACGAGCTGCTTAAACAGCTGTTTCAGCGACAAAAAGGATCACGTGGTCAAAATTGACATTTATTTAAATTAAATTTTTTCATTTTATATGGTTAATTCTTTAATTTTTTGTGGTAACTTAAATTGAGCAAGGTAACGCAATTTTGTGATGTTTTATATAATGTTTTGTGAAGGAGAATTAAATAACCACTACTTTAGTTGGTAGAGAAAATTTTTGAATGAATTGTGATTAAATAACCACTACTTTAGTTGGAAGAGGAAATGTCTTTGAATGAATTGTGATATGATAATTTCATTTAAGAGGAATTTAAACCATTTGGATTGAAATAGGAAGATTCTTCAATAAGTATACGTATACTTAGGTTTCATTGTAATATAAAAATGAAAGATAGTATCATTTGGATTAAGTAAATAATAAAGATAGTATCACTTAGGTTTTACTTTTTATTTTGTAGTAGAATTTTACTTGGCGCCACAGTTGTTGATATCAAATCGTTTGTACGAATAATACATATCATTAGATTAGATTAATATTCATTATTTATTTAATTTGGCATGGTATAAAGAAGTGGGATTTAACTTTAAATTACACAGAACATATACTATATTTGATAATCTACAACTATGACTTATTTGTTCCACGACTCACACAGTTAATTACGATCGATCGCTTTATAATTTGTGTGCTTAGACCCTCTATATATATTATGACTCAACGGTTTCAACGTTATATATGACAAAGTCGAACGCAAAATGCGTGCACGACAGCAATATACAGCGCGGAGTGTTTCAATACACCGGCGTATGATAAGATGGCGGAAAGCGCGCGATTTTTATTACTGCATGCATGAACGCTACATGAATGTGCGTTTTTGTACGCACGTATGATGATCATGTATGAAGGTAACATGAATTTTATGTAAATTATATTCCTTCACACATGGCTATAATATGCTGCCTTTTACGCACGCACTCGTGCTTCTATCACTTAATGAGAGTAACATGAATGCGTTATTGCACACACTCGTGACAATCATGCCGTGAGAGTAATATGAGCACTTACCAATTGTTATCTGGGTAATGTCTACAATAGAAGTCGTAGCAGTCATAAGATCTCGAGTCGTAAAAAATTGACCATTGCAATTATAGTCGATTATTCTTCTCATTATTATTTTCGATTATTCGACTATGATTGCTCAGGAAAAAATGTTTTATATATAATTATATACAATTATGTAAAATATGTCCATTTACATACAATTACATAAAATTATATGACTAATAATAATTTGAATGTTCGCATGAGTGATGTTCTTTGTGAATTTCTGCAACTTATAATTAAGCGTGAATAATTTTACAAAAAAATCTTAAATTTTTTTCGCGAAACACGTGTCTCATATTTTTATCTGTAGAATACGTCAGCAAATTTAAAAAAAAAATTAAAAATGATGTTTCAAACGTCCCGCATAAAAATATACTACTAGTGCAATAAGTAAATTCGAATATGAAAGAGAGAGAGAGAGAGAGAGAGGGGAGAGAGAGAGAGAGAGAGAGAGAGAGAAGTGGTAGAGAAAATTTCATTAAAATTACACTGAAATTTTATTGTGAAAATAAGTATTATTGATTGGCATCATATTTCAGAGGATACACGACAAAATTATAATAAAAAAAAGTTTCCTTTATTATATAGTTATAGAGCCTTATAATCACTTTTATTTTACATTATAATAGTATTTATAGTAAAAAAAATCAAACGTGTTAATGTAAATTACTTATTTATATACAGATTATTTATTTAGAGTGCTTTTCAGCAAAAGACAGATGTGGACACAGCTAACACAATGAATCATTATATATCTTTGTTGTTTGCCAATGTTAAATAAAGATCAAATAATCATTGTATTATACTGTTATGCTGTATCTCTTGCTGGAAAATACTTATATTTTATGGTATTGTCTAAATGTAACTTACATAAAATAATTGATGTAACTGTAGCACATGTTCTGTGTGGTAGCGCAGTTTGAAATCATTCTATAAAACTGGCGATTGTTCGCCTTCTACTTCTTGTTTTCGTACCTTTTTCCACTTCTTCTCACTTAGAACATATTCTAAGTGAATTATTCATTTTTTAATACGAAAATGTAATAAGAATTCCTTTCCACGTGTCCGATACAGTTTTTCTAGAAGTAGTATGAGAATAACTGAAACTAAGTGGAATTAGAGAAGATTAATTAGATTAGAAATCACATTATATTAATTGACACTGATCAATGTACGTAAAATACATTTGAATATAATTACATGTTAAATTACTAATAAATATAAATAAAAATAGCAAATGTAACGTTATAAATAACTATATTCATAAATTAACTGATCCTAACCCCAAAAAAACGGCAAAATGACATGTGCATGTACGATACTTTATTTAGAAATCTATATTCATAAGTTAATATTTTTATAAATATATATACAGGATGACCCATTTTAACTTAGACAGCCAAATAACTCGAAACATCGCGATTAAATAAAAAAATGTTTAAAACAAAAATTGTTGGGTATGAAGGGGCTGATAAAACTATGACCTTGACAATGACCTTGACCTTCATTTTCAAGGTTATTTGAGGGTCAAGGTCATTTTTTTAAATGGAATTATATGAATTTTTTTACATAATATAATTCCTCTAATTATTCTGCATATAAAAGTATTATGGTAGCGATATCAAAAAACCAATAGTTTACGAGATATTTTATATTTCATTGTGGCACATATATTGACGTAAAATATTAAATAACTCGTAATCTATTAATTTTTTGATAATCGTACCTTAATACTTTTACGAACAGAATAATGAGATGAATCAATTGGTGGAAA